AAGGTAGAAGTTTTACATCTCTTCAGATGTTCCACACACACGCCCCGCTGCCGCGAGGCTTTTTAAGGCCCGACGAATGAGATGAAGGTGAAGATGAAGGAAAGATGAAAATGAGATGACGATGAAAATGAGATGACAATTACTTAACCGGAACACAAGAGGGGGAACGCAAAAAGGAAAAGGAAAAAGAGAGAATACCAACACCAACACACCTGGCCCGAAACGGGCAAACCCTGAAAGGGCAAGGAAAAAGAAAAAGCGGACGGACGACGGGCCAAAAAACCAACCAGAGGAGGGGGGGCGGACAGAAGCGCCTGACACAACCTACAAGGCGAGAGCCAAAGCCTACCTAGGAACGCGAAGGACCCAAACCTGACCTAGAGAGGAAAGCGCGCATGAGATAGGGGACCAATGGGGAACTAGTTGATGAAATAAGATGCATCCACATTACGAGCATTTTTCGTGATAAGGCTCAAAGGCCCTCGGCTTTCATTTCACAACCCTGTAAACGGCTTACGTCGTCAACCCCTGAATTACGTGCACAATTGAACCTCACCAACGACCATAAAAAGAAAGAAAGACCACACCTAAAGCATGTCCTATTGCCTGATTTTTCATGAAAGAAAAGGTGAAGCCAGGCACAGCGGCATTCAACCAAACGACATTCGACAGGGTGAAAACCGAAAAATGGCCAGCTGTTCACTTTACTTAAACGAATTACTAATTCAAAAGTGTAAATTCAGACAAAAGAAAGGGTGAAGCCAGGCACAGCGGCATGCTGTTCAACCAAACGACAGTCGACAGGGTGAAAACCGAAAAATGGCCAGCTGTTTCACGATACTTAGACGAATTACTAATTCAAAAGTGTCAATTCAGAGGTCGTTTCAACGTGTCAATTTTTAGCCTGGAAAGGCTTTCCCCGAGGGTTCATGCCACCTTGACGAATCCAGCATGAATCGCACACTTGCTCAGAAACATCTTTGCGAATTCTGATGTGGAATGCATCTTACGTGCAAAAACACTCCATTTAAACCTGACAGGAGCCATTGAATGATCAGAAGTGAGAAACCTCAGGTTGAAGTTTGGTTGGCACTTGACAGTGCAGTTAAACAACAACAGAAAACACAGTATGACGTGTCCCCCAGCTGCGCCTTGAATGCGCCCAGGAGCGACACTGCAGGTACAGAAGTTTGCGTTCAAACTTCCATCCAGTTGATTTCCATAGCTTCGTTGGCGTGACTAGGAAATCAACCGTCACGCCCCCTGCAATTGAAAAGGAGGTTGGATAAACGCCTAATAAAATACTCAAAACTGGTTCATTGTAATGGCAAAGAACCTGATAAGAAAAAGCAATTCCGTCAATCAAGGTAGAAGTTTTACATCTCTTCAGATGTTCCACACACACACATCCCTAGCATCCCTTTCACATCACATGATATACATATTTTCCTTACATTTTCCATCAAATGCAAGACATACTTCAATTCTATTCCTTACAATGCGTACATACAACGTATACCGTATACAGTATACAGTAGTAAATGCAGACATGCCGTGCATGCAGTTCCTACATTACATACCTTGCATACCCTTGCGTCCCTGCATTCCCTTCATACCAAGATGGCCTACGCTCACATGCTTTCTTGAACACAGACATGCAATACTGTACTTCCCTACTAGTACATCTATATGCACGATAAGAAAACCCACAATATGATATACAATATGCATTGCGATGCATTGAATTTCATTCCATTCCCAGGGCTCTAATTTGTGGCAGGTTCCGGCATCCCATGTGCACACCAGCACAGTCACAGACAGGAAGAGGTGTATACCCTAAAAATAGCCACACAAACTTCTTCAATAGACTTTGCCGTCAGTTTTTGTTGTGGCCTATGCAAAGTGTAGCTGCCATATTTGATTGTGGTCGAACATCAGGGAAGGGTCACATACATAAATCATATGTACATATATCATATTAGTATATCTTAGGTCTACTACACACTTCCAGAGTCTTCCAGATATGTATGCATGTAAATGATACTTCTCTCTCTCTCTCTAAAATATCTGTGTTCGGGAATTTTTGTATTTGAAACGATTTACGTACACGGACTGTATGCAACATGCCTACGTATCTGGGTGCAACTTGGAGCCTGAAGATGAATGAAGCATTGAGGCAGAGTCAAATGGCAGCCAAAAGGCAGGTGGAAGAGGGATTGCGATTGAACAGTGTAGCAACCAGGGCACTGCAGGATGAACAACTGAATACTTCAAAAGATTGGACAATGCCGCAATGCCACAGACTGAAAATGTGTTCAAACCTTTCCTTGGTTTGGTGGAAGTACACATTTCGGTATTGACTATTAGAGTTTAGCAAGGGTTTCGATGAGACAGGATTGCCAGAATGACTGCACGGAGTAAACTGAGTAAACAATGATGAACGCATCGAAACCTTCCTGTATAGCGCTCAGTACACAGCATATAGACATTGCACATATTCCACACATTCTTACACTATTCCCACCTTTGTGATCCTTCGTTCCTATCTCGTAGTATTGATATAGTGTTTCATATAATTTAATATGAGTCCATATTATTTCATATGAGCAACTGTCAAAACTCGCGGGTACTAAGATATGTATTGGCTACTACTACTACTACTACTTCTTCTTCTTCTTCTTCTACTTACTAGTTCTACCACTACAATCACCAATACTACCACCACTACTATTGATTACTGCTGCTGCTACTGCTGCTAATAGCACTTCTGCTGCTGCTACTACTGCTACTACTACTTCTACTTACTGCTTCTACCACTACAATCACCAATACTACCACCACTACTACTGATTACTGCTGCTGCTACTGCTGCTAGTACCACTTCTGCTGCTGCTGCTACTACTACTACTACTACTACTACTCCTGCTACTACTACTACTACTACGACTACTACGACTACTACGACGACTACGACTACGACTACGACTACTACGACGACTACGACTACTACGACGACTACGACTACGACTACTACGACGACTACGACTACTACGACGACTACGACTACTACTACTACTGCTACTACTACTACTACTACTACTACTACTACTACTACTACTATTACCGGAATTCCTGCTACTAACGCCAGGATTGTGTTCCTAGCCTTGCAAATATTTCTAATACTTCCTTATTCTTAGTACTACTTTACCAGTATGTGCGCTGCTAGCACTTCTAGTACTCCTAAAATCTTGGCACAATTAATGCTAGTAGTACATACAAGTATGAACAGTACTACGAATACAATATCATATCTACTTCAGCTGCGTTTAGCCTTAGCGATACCCCTTGTAAATCAATATTGCGCAATGATGGTAAAATTGTTACGAAACTGTGGTTAGCGATGGGACCTTTCCAAATTATGTTGATGTCCTTTTCATGAACAAGGAGTTTTGACAGCCGCACATATTATTTCTATATATTTGGTATTCCATGGTATTTCATGGTATTCCTATTCAGTTGGCAGTTGGCCTTGGACCGAAACCAGGTTGAGAGGCGCCGTGCTCCAGATGGAAGGTTCTATACACGGGACGAATTTCTGAAGCCGGGAACACAGGATGTCATGGACGTCACAGTCCACAGAAGTCCACAGGATCACAGGTGTGCTTTGCTTTCCAAACAGCTTGCCAAATAGTTTAAACCACACTGTTTCGCCTTTGTTTAGCTTTGGTTTAGCCTCTGGGTTTAGCCTTCATTAATTCGATCATATTGCCGTCAGCACGGGCGACCATTGTCAGGTTCTTTGGAAAGAAAGATGGAGAGCAGACTTGGAAATGGGCACCGCGCAAGTGAATGAGACCAGCACCCAACAAATTTGGAACCAACAGTTCGTTGCACTGCAGTGTCAACTCAGCATCAAGGGGTTCTGAAAGTGTTATAGTGGCAAGACAATTTCAAAGAGTGTTGGAGTTGGGAGCGTTCAGACTTATGCTTTCAATGGTAAGTGGCGGTGTCATTGCATACTGTTCTTCTGGAGATGCCATTTGGAGTATTCTTTGCAAATTCTGCAATGAATTCTCCAAAGGATTCAATCTCGCCAAGCGGTCTGCAGATTTGAATAGACACCTCGGTGCGAGTGCACATCTTGTCCAAGTCAAAAACACTCAAGCTGCTGCAATCCAGCCAGCCTCAAGAGATTACAGTTGAAGGCCATTTCAACTGAGGCACCCGTCTCTATCCGATTCGATCCCTTACCCTCAAAGTGATTGGAACAGTTCAAGCATCGTTGAGATGATTCTTTGATTTTAAAGGCCTTCAAGACTTTGAAAGACAAAGCTGGCGCGCAGAGTTTTGAGATGTATCTTGAGGCAAAAACCTCGGCACACTGAGGGCCAACGATCTTTAAGCCGTTTGACAAGATGCCATTCATTCTAATGCATCATCCAAATCCTGAATGGTAAGAACATTTGAGAACCCTTTATATAGATCGTTTGCCTTGCACGCATCCCTCTTGCTCAAACAAACGTGGTACTTCTTTTGCTAGTTGCCTGCTCCAGCTGCGGAATCTGACATTTTTGTTGGGGTCCTTTCATTGATGTTCATCACGTTATATCACGTTACCACGTTCTCTTTCAGTCGATTCTGTGCTCGCGATTCAGTGCAGCGAGCATCCTCAGCTGGCCGTAGCTTGCAGACAGACTATTGGCCACAGTGAAAAAGATTGAGCAGCCCAAGTAGCCAGCAGATCAGAGCAGGTTCCAGTTTTGCTCATGCGCCGCGAAAGGCTATGTGGCATTGGAATTTGTTTTTTTTTGCTTAAGTCTTCGCAAACTCCTGCAGTGGACACCAACAATGTAAATGGATCAGCCATTTGCTTTTGCCACGAAGTAGTGTATATACCTGGTATTAAGGCTTGAGAGCATCGAATTGAGTTGCTCCCTTTCGTATTTTTCTTCAGACCATGCTGGAAGGTGTTGAATTGTTTGAGCCACTTCTTTGAGGTTATGTTCAAGAAATCGCGCTTAAAAAAGCGCTGCTCGTCGGCATTTTAGACACCCTTCCAAGTCTACACCCTTCTACAATTCTAATTCATTAAATGAATCGTTACCAAAACCAACGAAGGTTTCCGAATGATGTGAGTGTTTAGATATGTTCAGTTTCACTTACCCTTGTATTTGTCAGCATGTATAACTGTTATATGATTATAAATAATTATAAATGATAATAATATATACATACCATACATATGTAAATGTACTACATTATATAAGTTATGTTACCAGTATACATTATAAAATATTGCAAACAATATATGTATATATCATCAGATAATTTGTACATACAATATGTACATCAATATATATATATATAACGACCCCTACCTTAGGAGATTAATCCAGGTGGATCGTTGGTTATCCAATTATTTTTCAAAAATCAATTGAATTGGGTGTTTTTTTTCAAGAACTCTATTTTCCGAGGATTAATTTAAGTTAGATGATTTAGTCTGAATGCTTGAGAATGAGAGTGGGGCCACCTCGAATTAATTTGGCAATGTTTCGTCAAACTAATTCAAACCATGGGGTCCCAAACCAGTACACCCACCCTGAAATTAATTTTGCGCATGGCCACACGAGCTGCGAAAAAGGAAACACTTTGTTGGCGCAAAAAAGAGATGATACGGTGCTTATTTATTCGTGAGGCTTTTCAGTGGGTGTTCAATTCTCATTGCATACAATCAATAAGATTCTGTTCCAAACGCATCTTCTTACTTGTACATGCCACCCGGTTAGATTTAATGTCATCACAATTATTGGGTCCTGTTCTAGTACACCCACCCCCAAATTAATTTTACGCATGTCCACGCAAGCTGGGAGGCAGGAAAACAATGGTTGGTGATATGAGAAATAAATTGCATGTTTCTTCGTTCCACACCCCAACTAATTAGAAGAAATTATTTGGGGTCCACCTAACCCAAGAAAAAATGGTAGTTCCCCCACTCTTGAATTATGTTGCCCGAAATTAGTCTAGGTGGGTGGGAAGAGTACCATTTATTATGTCCAGGTGAGAGGGAAGTGCTGCCGAGCAAATTAATAGAGGTACCTTGAAGCAGTAAGGATCCTTGGATTAATACTTTTATTAATGTAGGTGGGGGACCAAGTCTGGAGACCCTTTAGGACCTTTAGGAGGGAGTCGTTATACATATATATATATATACACATACATACATACGTACATGTATATATATATACATATACACAAATGCACCGTTTGATTTTAATTTTGATTTCCTGAACTGCAGGAGCTCTCAGGAATCAGCACCCGACGTCGCACCTCGGTGGAGTATCCTTGTCAGCGAGGCTAATTGTAGGGAAACGAAGCACAGTATTGGAATACTTGGTGATGGTATGTGATGGTCGTTTTGACTGTTTGCAGTGTTTGATGATTGGAGAACCGTGATTAATCTCTCACAATGAATCATTTCAAAAGAGGTGACGAGCTTTCAGCCACCAAAAATTGGTTCCAACTTCGGGTGTGGAAGTGAGGGACAGCAGTCACAGCATGTCATTGCAGTTCTTAGGCTACATTTTGCGGCGATGTGGGGAGTTGCTCGTTGCTCGAGAGGCAAGTCAGCAAGTGAGAAGACCACAGGACAACCAAAGTGACTTCAGTATAGACACTAAAAAACTCTTCTTAAGTATTGCAGAATGAAGACAAATCCAGTCCAAAACCCAAAACTTCAAAAGTAAAGATCATTGCTGCCGCTATGTGAAGTGTAACAGGCCTTCAGCCAAAGCTATCCGGAAATACGGTGCTAAGAGTAGAAGTTGCTATTACTAGCCATTTGCTATAGTAATAGTAGTATGCAAGTTGCTATTACTGGATTTGTAGTCCTGATTGAATTGCATGCAGAAATGTCAGGCTCTGTGTGTGTGTGCGAGAGTGTAGCTACAAGCATGGTGTCTCTATGCTCAGGGTTGACAAAGCTCAAGATCACCAGTCACCAACTATTTTTTGTAGCAAAGCAACACAGAAATGGTAGGATTGAGGGTCAATGCAATTTCATTGTTTGCCTCTAATGACTAATGCTTCAGAATCCCCTGAGCCTCCTTATTCAGCGTCTGATCCTGGAAGGCCCACTTGCTTTCCAATTTGGAGGCCCTACAGATGCGCATCAATGAGGCCATGGGTCACAGGAAATGAGGGTGCCTCTGCAAGACGATGGCTGCCGATGCACACCTAGGAACATGCACAGAACTGAGGAACATGAACTAAAGAAAGGTGCCAAACAGTCTTCGAGTGCATAACGCATCCTGTTAGATTCGTTTTGGTCGCTATTGGATTATGTTGGACTGTTTTGAGGTTCTTGAGTTTAAGCTTCGTTCAGCTTCAAGTTGTTTGTTTACAGGGTTTGTTGTTGACAGAGCTTTGATCGTTTGCATCCTTGACATTCCCTGATCAAGGCTGAAAGTGACACTGTGCCACGAAAGGCCACCAGTTCTTCGAGTTCTTGGACATGTTTGTTTACAAGCTATTGATGCAATTGAAATTGAGATGAGATGAGATGACAATGAGATGAGTTGAGTAGCTCACAATTCAGCAGTCGGCTTGCCACTACACCGCAAGTGAGAGCAAGCAGATTTTATTTCACGACAAGTCACGGCAAGCCAGGAGCGCTTTACCAACTGTCCAGGTCTGGTGGCTTCAGGCACCGCATTCCAGCGCATTCCCGCGCATTCCCGCTACTACGCATGCTACACCCATCCTCCATTCCAGCGCCGGGTTGTGTATACTTAAAGACAGCGTGTACCATCCACATAGTCGACGTAGTGACGTAGTGAAACCTTTCGCAGCGCAAGCAGTTTCAATGACTTTGCTGACTATGACTGGTTAATGCTTTGGCGCTTTGGTAGTCCTTTGCCTTCTTGCTTGTGCTGACTGGAGCTTTGGCCCTGTCGGAATCTTGGGGAAGATCTAGGAAGGAGGCTCACAGGCCACAGATGTTCACAGTCATTTCTGAAGTTTTGGGTTTGGAGTCTTTGCTCCCGCAATTTCCAGGGTGTAATTACAGCCTAGGTGAATGGGCAGCCATGCCTACAGGCCTTGCCTGAAGTTAGCTGAAGCCGGCTGTTCTTGGATGCATGGTAGGTCGAGTCGTGAACAGTGCAGGAGAGAGCACTAACAGAACCGGGGTAACAAATGAGTTTGAAAAGGGAAGGCTATGGAATCCAACGAAGAGCCAGACTAAATGAACTCGATGAACGCACGGGGAAGCAGCGAAACTGCACCAAGATGTTCACATGCAGCAATGTAGCCTTTAAACACATTGGGCACAATTAACATGCAAGATCACCCAAAGGATCTCTACACTCGATCTTTGCAATGTTATGAATCGAGTGTACAAGACTATATGATGCAATCGTGAGCAGTCCCAGTCTGTACAGAGATGTGAAAGACCATGTTGAATGCAAACACACGAAGCCGTAAAAAGTCAGGCCACAAAGCATTGCGCGAGGCATTTGTGTGGCTCTTGATCTTGTCTCGCCTCGGACGCTGGTGCGCCTTCTCAAAGTCAAATAATCGACGTGGACATCGGATTGAAGATGCTCATGATGCAACCATTTGACCATATTTGACCCATGTGCTGACGGCAATGGCCTTGAAGACAGCTGAGGCACAGGATCGCACAGTTTTTTTTCAAACCCCATCTCTGGAGCCAAGAAAGGAAACGAATGGCCTACCGAAGAAACTCAGACACTAATTAAGTAAGGAAAGTAAGAGACGCTTGCCAGACTTGCCAGCAAGTCATCCGGGAGGCTGGGAAGCTCTTATTTGCTTTGTTAATCTTTGTATATCTTTGTTATAATTGCCTCTCTCTCTCTCTCTCTACCTCCATCTACCCGCCTCTACCAGCCCTCTGCAGTGAGCACTACAGGTATTACGAGGTTTTGCGGCACCTACCATGTGAAGCACAGGATGAGGCATGCTGCATAGACTGGCAGAGATCGTGGCTACTCATGTTTCTTATACATGGTTTATGGATGTTTATGGCAAAGGAAACTTTGTGAACATATGAGAATGGAAAGAACAGAAAGCAACGAGAAACCATACTGGCCTTGTCAGCGGGAACGGAATGTCGTCTATCTTATTTGAATTTGTTTGTCCGTCCATCCGTCCGTCCATCACCGTCCGTGTGTGTGTGTATATGTATATATAATTATAACTATATACTATAATTATAATTGTAGTACTGTAAATATGTTTGAAATATATCATATGGATTCATATGGCAATTCTGATTCTGTGTTCTGCCCACAAGACGCAGGTATGGGACCTTCGCCGCGAGTTCTGCACTTTGCATAAACACCTGGCAGAAACGCTGGGATCTCGAGACATCCTGTGACAGAGCCTGAAGTATACTCACTGAACCCATTTTGTTTCCCGGATAGGTTTTGTTTGATTCTTGGAAAGTAATGCTTTGCCGGCCTGCGTTGCCCAGGCAGCATTTGATCACGCAGCTGGAGGACGGAGAAGCTCTTGTGTTCAGTGCAGAAAAGTAAGGGAATGGTCACATGGTTCAATGTGGTTATCGCATGTCATCGCTCAATTTGGGCTCATATCACTGTGGTGCACCCGGAATGTCATTGCCATAGACTCATAGACTTCAATCTGAGATTTGCGCGCCGCCATCAAGCAAACCGCACATAGACAAGCAAAACTCTGCAGAGTGCATGAGTTTACCGGAGAGCCATCTAAGTCATATGAGTCACATCATGGCGAAATGCGGCTTGCCTTTCATTCCCTCGATGTTTCGGAGCTGCAGCTTGTAGCAACCAATGGTATGAACACAGACGAAATCCATAGGACCGCAATTCTTGCCAGGGCTGGGAATCATTTGGTCCTGCCAAAAAGCCCGATTCGAGATATTTACTTTGACAATAATCGAAGATATTGTTTTGGCTGTGCATAAAACAATAAAACATGATCAAAACTCGAAGGAAAACATTGAAAGGAAGATTGCCCACACTGGCAAAGAATATCAAAGAATTCCTGCATGCCCACAGCCCAAGTTTCAGCCACCCTCAGTGGCCAAGGTCCATCGATAGGGACAAACAAGTCGCCATCGCGCCTTGGCCAAAGATTTGGAAATCCCATCCTAGATCCTGGAGGTGTTTTGAAGCATGAGACAACTTATAAAGCGAAAGCTAACTTTGGGCCAGAGCTACAGGATTTGATGACGTCTTTGCATATCTTTGCATATTTTTGCATCAACATGGGCAGATTCAAGATGTTTCTTCCATCTTTTCATTGCTGGTGAAGTCATGCTAATTCCATCTAATTCCTGCTATCTGGTTGACCTCAGGAGAGGTTTACAGTTGCGGACAGTTTGCGACTCGTTTTCAACACAAGCTGCAGAGAGCGCCCTATATGCTTCACTGGCTTCACTGGCACTCATGGCCCTTTGGCAGCGGTGTTTTTTTTCATGAAGTTTTTCCATGTTTTTTTCCTTTTCCAAATGGGTTGGAAATAGCAAATCTCAGGGTGCATCGGATGTGGCTTAACATTTGCTCTTTTCATCTCTTTTCATGTTTCCTTTGCTTTTCCTTTGTGGCTAGTCAGTGAGATTCGGATAGATTCGGTGAGTCTAAGTGAGGTCATCCTGTGGCAGGCAAGACCAAAGGAGGTTCCACAGGCCTGCTGATGTCACCGAGATTCACCGAGTAGTGGAAAGGAATGATGCGTATCTGATGTGTATTGTGTGTATTCGGAAATTCGAAAGTTTTGCCAAATTTAATCGTCTAAAGGGAGATTTGAAACAACATGAAACAACATGAAACAACAGACAATCAACAGGGTGCCACTCTACCTCGCAGGCACAGCCTACCTGTGACTTTTTCGATCTTTTTGTCGAGGCTCGCAGAACTGCGTCTCGAGGAAGTCGAGGAACCTTGTCACAACCCAAGCCCACTGCGTCAAGTTCCTCGAGTTCCTTGGTGACCTTGGTGCTGCGAATTTCTGTGTTTTAAATAGATTTAAAACGATTTAAGTCGAGCCAACTTGCATGCCGCTAGCCCAGACCAGAAAACCCTGAGAAGTAATTACTCGTACCTGGTGTGAACATTTTCTTGCATATTTCAAAATGCGCATTTTTTAATATCATTTTATCGTGAACTACTTGAAATTCAAACCGAAATCTTCTAAGAGGCCTTGAATGTTTCTGTGGCTGCGCATTGAGGGCATTTCGATGTAGTTCCACTGCCTGGCAAAGGCAAAGTTGTGCTGGGTGGGTTGGATCAAGACGGCAAAACCATGAGACCACAGCAGCTGAACCCCTTTGAACAGCCATGGCTAAAATCAAGGCTGGTCAGACCCGTGACAACCAAATAAAAGCTGAATATTTATCACATGATGTGTGTCTCTCAAAAATGAGGCCGGATCCCTGGGCACCAAGAGCCATTTTATCTGAAACACTGTCTTCTCAGTGTTTGCAATGTAAACATAGGTGAGCCTCCGGTACCTGTGCAAGCATCATGCATGCAAGTTCCCACTTGGTACATGCCAGTATGCCAGTATGCCAGTATGCCAGTTCGCACTTGGTCAATGCCAATATGCCACTTCGCACTTGGTAAATGCGAGTTCCCCCTTGGTAGATGCCAGTTCCTGGTTGGCAAATGCCAGTTTCCAGTGGTAAATGCCAGGTCCCACTTGGTGACTGCCAGTTCCCACTTGGTAAAGGTGAACACGCCAGTTCCCACATATTAAATGCAAACATATAATAATATAATATAAAATAATATATCATAATATATCGTAATATATCATTATATATCATTATATATAGTAATATGTCGTAATATATAATAATAAATCATAATATATGATAACATATCATAATATATAATAAATTATAATAATATATCATAATATATGATAACATATCATAATATATAATAGTATATTATAATATATCATAATATATCATAATATATCATAATATATCATAATATATAATAATAATAATATATTATAATATATCATAATATATAATAGTATATCATAATATATCATAATATATTATAATATATCATAATATATCATAATACATCATAGTATATCATAATATATCATAATACATCATAATATATCATAATATATCATAATATATCATAATATATCATAATATATCATAATATATCATAATATATCATAATATATCATAATGTATCATAATATATCATAATATATCATAATATATCATATATATATCATAATATATCCTAATATATCATAATATCATAATATCATAATATATCATAATGTATCATAATATATCATAATATATCATAATATATCATAATATATCATAATATATAATAATAATAATAAATTATAATATATCATAATATATAATAGTATATCATAATATATCATAATATATTATAATATATCATAATATATCATAATACATCATAGTATATCATAATATATCATAATATATCATAATATATCATAATACATCATAGTATATCATAATATATCATAATATATCATAATATATCATAATGTATCATAATATATCATAATATATCATAATATATCATAATATATCATATATATATCATAATATATCCTAATATATCATAATATATCATAGTATGTCATAATATATCATAATATCACAATATATCATAATGTATCATAATATCATAATATCATAATATATCATAATGTATCATAATATATCATAATATATCATAATATATCATAATATATCATAATATATAATAATAATAATAATAAATTATAATATATCATAATATATAATAGTATATCATAATATATCATAATATATTATAATATATCATAATATATCATAATACATCATAGTATATCATAATATATCATAATATATCATAATATATCATAATATATCATAATATATCATAATACATCATAGTATATCATAATATATCATAATATATCATAATATATCATAATATATCATAATATATCATAATATATCATAATATATCATAATGTATCATAATACATCATAGTATATCATAATATATCATAATATATCATAATATATCATAATATATCATAATATATCATATATCTATATATATATTAATGATATTTAATAATATATAATAATATTTCATGATATATGATAATAAATAATAATATTTCATGATATAACAATATATAATGATATTTAATGATAGATAATGAAAGATCATAATATATAATAATACATAATCATATATCATAATATGTAATAATATTTGATAATATCTAATAATGTATAATAATATATAATGATATCTAATAATATATAATAATATATAATAATATATAATAATATATAATAATATATTAATAAGATATATAGTAATATATAATAATATACAATAATATATAATAACATATAATAATATATAGCAATATATAATATTATATAGTAACATATGATACTGTAATATATATTACAAACGTATATATATATAGGCCAGCTCCCACTTCGGGACATGACATGAAGAATGGCACGGGCGGGCGGGAGGTACTAGCACGGAATAGTTGGTCAAAACTTGAATCCCCATGGTTATCTTTCAGACCTGACGCTCCATGTTTTTTACATTATCCCCATGTGCCAGACAATGCGGTCAGATACCTGGCTTTTTATGCTGCAGGGTTCGGATACCTGGCAGTTTATCCATAATTTTATCTTGTTTCCAGGGGTCAGACGCCTTCCCCTCGCACCCAAGGGTATCTTGTTTCTGCTCTGTTCTGCCCTACTGTAGCATATTCGATTGAATTTTTGCCCTTATGCAGAGAACACATGTCAGCATGACATGATGATGATTTGTCAGAGGCTTCGTGCACCAAGCATCACCGAGCACAGACAAGTTGCAGTTTCAAGTTGTTTCCAATCCTCATTGTCCGCATCGTGTTTGCGTGTTTACTTTGCGATTTGTGCGGCTATTTGATGATATTTGAGCTAAGTCATGCGGGTCATGCCGGTCAGTCCTGCCAAGCCCAGACATTTCGAGCAGGTCTGGGAGCTGTGGCGACTACCTCGCTGACCTGTGGAGATTTGCTTGCAGAAGAGGCACCTTTGCTGCCTGGCGGAGTTGGGAAGTCGGGAACCCTGCGAAACAAAGACATGACTGGCAGCACTGTGGCAGAGACCTCGTAAAATGAAGTCCAGTCAGTACCTAGAAGAATTTCCTCATGTTTATTTGTGATTTAGTTTCAACAACTTCCACAGGCAAACTGTATCTCCTTCGTATCTACTACAGCCGCTGTACTGGCTTCAATAGGGAAATGGAATGGCCGGATGAGGCTACAGACCGGCTTTGGCTTGCCTTCAGCCGAAAGGCAGATGGAGAGTCGCGGCGGCACAGCCACACTTCCATCATCATCCAAACTTGCAGTGACAACGAGCGTTTCTGGACGGAAGTCTGAAGGAGGTTGAGCGCACGTTGTTTTGGGACCAAATTACACCGGCAAGAGACCCCAAACAGTGTGGGGGGTAGGAAGTCAATGTACCAGGTACAAGCAACAGAAGCTATGGAACAGTAACGGGTGAGGTGAGACATGATCCCAACTGCAGCAGCAGGAACTTCTTGTATGTAGATCTATAGAGAGGATCTCACAAGATCATCATACGAGAATGTCCGAGGAGCATCCCAAAAGAATTTTCATACACGCACCAATGCAGAGCATCTTAATGCAAGGACTTCTTGAGGGGGATTTCCGCACGATCCCCACAGGAGCTTCTCACAATGACCCATATCAGATCATGTAAGGACACCGAGAGGATTTCACCAGGACCTCTTCAAGAGCGTCTCTCAAGGACCTGCACAAGATCATGCAAAGGCCTCTGAAAGCATTTCACTAGGATCCCTAGAAAATCTTCGCGCAAGGAATTGCAAAGGCCTTGAGCAAGATCTTCATGCCAGAACCCCGAAGAGAGACCATGACAAGACCGGGGACCCAGACTGTGTGCGAGCCTGCGCGTCGAAATGGACATGGACATGTCACAAGAGCCATTTCATGCGAGAATTCTGAGGGAAAATGCCGCGCCCCAAGAGCAAGCAAAGCTCGCCGCACAGACTTTGCGCGAGCCTTCGCAGTCGGAACGCGCGTGGACTCCAAGATGATGCAAAATTCGTGGCGCAGACTTTGCGAGCCTCCGCAGTCGAAACGCACATGGACATGTCACAAGAGCCACTTTATGCGAGAATTTGCAGTACAGGAAACATGCCGGAAGCCTGGCAGGAAGGCAGTGTACCAGATACAAGCAACAGTAGCTATGGAACAGCAGCAGACAGATGTGTTACCCTCCGGGGGGAAAAAATGTAAAAAAAGTTGACTCAGTGAAGTTTTCTAAACTAATATCATAGCAGTATAACAAATCAACATGTATTCATTAAAAAACATAACAGTCCAAAAAGTCAGTTTGAATATTGTGATTGCTTCATTTTTCCCAACAATATAAAAACACAATTACCTCATTCAATTTTTCAAAATCATAGCAGTCAAAGCATACTTACCTCATTCAATTTTTCAAAATCATAGCAGTCAAAGCATACTTACCTCATTCATTTTTTCAAAATCATAGCAGTCAAAAGCATTATTACCTTATTCATGTTACAAAATCCTATCCATCAACCGTTCCTAAATTCCTTTTATGTTTCTCTGTTTTTAAATGTCTTGAATAACATTGTGCCTTCATTGATGAATTACATACATTACAAAAGGCAACTTTATCACGATCGTTTTGTATTTGTTCCTGTTTCTTTTTTCTATATTCTTCATCTTCTTTATATTTAGTTCTTCGTGTTTCATTCACGTTATCTTTATGTTTGTCATAGTTCTTTCTCTTGTATTCCAAGCATTTCTTACAAGTCTTCAATCCATCTTCAAAATTATCAATTGGTAAATATTTAACACAGTATCTACAAAGTTTATCCATGACATATAAATATGATTGTCTTCTTAAATGTCTTTTCCAAGAATTCCTATAACAACCAAAAAAACAACAACAAACCAAGCAAAGAACAACATAAAAAAAAAAAAAACAATAGACAACAATAGACAACAATAAATATTATTCCCTACCCTTTAATAACCGTATCTTACAAATCCATAATTCTAATAAATAAATATTATTAGAAATATGTTGGTAGTAAATATCTTCAAGAATTATCAATTCAAAATGAAATGTTTGTATTCCTATTATACTATCTTTATCTTGGTCTTCTTCTATGTCGGTATTTATTTCTTCACCTGCTTTATTCAATACATCTTCTATATTATCTTCATCTACATATTCATCAAAGTCATGCATGAAGTAAATTTCTCTATAACTAAATTCGTTGTCTCCATATTCTTTATCTGGGAGTTTTGCTACTATTTGGACTTCAATATCAAGTTTAACTCTAAAATTTAAATTATCTTCTTCTACTTCTTCATAAATCAAAGATAGTAATTCTTCTTTTTCTTCTGTTATGATGTTTCCTATACTTTTTAAACCAAATGACACTCCCTCTCTCACAATACAGTATTCAATTACATATATTTTTTTCTTGGTTTCAAATGTCTTGTTATTTTAGGACCAAATCTTGATATTTTATGTTTGTTCCGTATTCTCTTCACTGCTTCACTATGCTTTATTGTCACATATTTAGGGTCTCCAATTTTATAAGGAACGATCTTACGCAACGCATCAACAGGCAAACCCTTCATACAATTCGTCTTATAAAAACTTGTATAAATAGCTTAATCTTTCAGTATATATTCCAAGATTAAAATATAGAATTCTTTGAAAAACTACTTAAAGATAACTTAACTAAATATATACTATTATATGATGAAAAAGGTTATAAACTATTTATTGAGTAATGATTTAGCAGAAATACCAAAACGAGGAAGAAGAGAAGTAAAGTCAATAATAATAGATGATAAGAAATTCAGATACAACAAAGACAAACCAATATCTAGTGTCTTAACAAAGAAACTACTGACGGTCGAGAAAACTAATGAATACAGAAGTTATGCTTTAAACAAGGCAAAAGATGCGTTCAGTGAAGGAAAAGTGAGACAAATACTAACCAAACACGCAATCAAAAATAAATTTAGGGTCAGAGATATTCAATCAACATTTAGAAGATACGCTAATTAAATAGTTTTAGAAAATAAACACTTTCAAGGAGAAAGGGGATTAGAAATGATTGCGCACCAAAAACAAAGACTATCATTTTTTTAAAGAAATAATAGAAGCATGAAGCTTAACATAAGAACGGAAGGATTATTTGAAAAACCTGAATTTGATGATGGAGGAAATGAATTAGGAAGTCAGGAACTTGTATATGCCCTACCATCAACCCGCTTCAATATTAGTAATGAGGATGAACTGACGCAAGCATTAGAAGACAGTGTTAAACAAATCTTATTACAAATACAGAATTTAGAAGCATCAGCATCCAATTTAAGATTTAAGAAATTTTTGACAATAACCATTCACTATGACAAATATGACCCAACAAGAGCAGGGAGATACATAGAATTACCTGAATGGATTAAGCTAAAAAAGGCATATATCAACATAAAGAACAGAGACCAAAAATGTTTCAAATATTGTATTCAATCCAAAGTCTATGACAAAATAAGCAAACACCACCCAGAGGAAACGTTCCACTATAATAAACTGAAAGATGATATTTTGAACTGGGATGGTGTACATTTTCCAACTGGCAATAGGGACATTGACAGATTTGAAGAGAACAATAAATCAGTTTCAATAAATGTGTTTGAACCCGATGACTGCTTAAATGATAATAAGATTATATTGCATAGAGGCACTAAAAATAGAAATGCTAAATACGAAATTAAACTGATTTACTAAAAATCTATGATGAAGATAATAGTTATCACTACGTATTAGTTAAAAATAAATGTAGATTATTAAACGGTCAAAACAGTAGCAACACAAATAAAAAGTTTTACTGCCACCATTGTTTAAATCCCTTTCAATCAGAAAAGGTATATAAGAAACATCTTGAAAACGGATGTATGGCATCAGAAGGACAACAAACAAAGATGCCAGATAAAGACACTATATAGAATTTGAAAAGCATAATACTAAATTGCCTTGTCCTTTTGTAATCTATGGTGATTTTGAATGTCTAACGACTAACTCTAAAAATGGTATAAAAAGGCACATATCAGGAACGTAAACCTTGCGGTTATATGTTGAATGTTGTAAGCAGGATTGATAATACTTGCAAACCGTATTTATACAGGGGTGAGGATTGTATGAAACACTTTGTAGAGAAACTGACGCAAATTAAGAAAGATATATTTGCAAAAATGAATGTCAATGAACCAATGGATAAACTAACTTTTCAACAAAAGACAGAATTTAAACAAGCAACCCGCTGCTCGATATGTAATAAGAAATTCCAACCTGACGATGAAAAGGTTCGCGACCACTGCCACTTCACAGGCAAATACAGGGGCGCAGCGCATGTAAAATGTAATCTGGATTATTCATTTAAGTTTTTTTTAAATCCCTATTTTCTTTCATAACCTTAAAAACTATGACGCACACTTAATCATTGCCAGAGCAAATGAACTAAACATACAACTAAACCAAAACAAAAGAATAGATGTAATAGCACAAAACAGCGAAAAGTTCATAACCTTTTCATTTGGCGCTTGTCAATTTAAAGATAGTTTCGCTTTCTTAACTGCTTCATTAGATAAGTTAGTGAGATTAAATAAATATGAAGGAAATGAAAAGATAAAAGATTGGGAAACTCGTTTCAGATATACAAGCACCAATCCATATATCAAATCTAAAACTGATTTGAATTTACTGACTGATAAGGGTGTATATCCCTATGACTATATGAATTCATGGGATAAATTTGATGAAACAAAACTACCAAAGAAAGAAGACTTTTACAGTCAATTATATGAAGAAAACATAACTGACAAAGACTACGCCAGAGCAAATATTGTGTGGAACCATTTTAACATAAAAAATCTTGGTGAATATCATGATTTATATTTGATGACTGATGTATATTTACTGACTGATGTTTTTGAAAATTTTAGGGATATGTGCTTGAACTATTATGGATTAGACCCAGCATATTATCTCACTTTACCTAATTATTCTTGGAATGCCTTTTTATCATTAACAGGGGTTAGACTTCAACAAATCCACATAAAAGAAATGTATGAGATGATTGAAAATGGATTAAGAGGAGGAATGACGCAATGCTCCTTCAAGAAAGTAGAAGCAAACAATAAATACATGAATGAATATTATGACAAATCTAAACCTTCATCATACATAAGTTATTTAGATGCTAATAATCTTTATGGATTAGCAATGTGTAAGAAACTGCCTTTTGATGATTTTAAATGGTATTACGGCATAATGGATGAGAAGAGAGTAATGAAATATAATGACGATGATGACACAGGATACATATTAGAAGTTGATTTAGATTATCCAAAAGAACTACATGATTTACACAAAGACTATCCATTAGCACCTGAAATCATGAGTATCAATGAAAATATGCTTTCACAAGTCCAAAAGGATATACACAAATACTATTATGGAAAAGATGCCAGTGATGAAAAGTCAAATAAATTAGTTCTGAATGTGATGGATAAAAAGAAGTATGTTTTACATATATCAGCATTGAAGTTTTATTTACAGCACGGATTAAGTCTTAGAAAAGTTCATAGAGCAATAAGTTTTAAGCAAGCAAATTTCTTAAAACCATTCATTGAATTCAACACCGAAAAGAGAAAGAATGCCAAAAATGATTTTGAAAAAGATTTGTTTAAGCTAATGAACAACAGTGTATATGGCAAGACCATGGAGAATGTAAGAAAGCATGGTGATTATGAGATAGTCAATACGCCTGAACGCTTCCAAAAACTGGTAAATAAACCGCTATTCAAGCACAGGTATATCATAAATGAAGGCCTTGTAATTGTTGAAAAGATAAACACACAGTGGAACTAAACAAACCTATCTACATGGGTATGTCTATTTTAGACACTGTATTCTAAAATTCACATGTATTCCTTCTATTATGATGTTTTGAAACCAAAATATCAAGATAATATCAAGTTGGTATATACTGATACTGATAGTTATGTAATAAAAGTTGAGACTGATGACATATATGAAGACTTTAAGGAGATTAATGAATACATGGATTTTAGTGATTATTCACTAGAGCATCCAAACTATGATAAAACAAATAAGAAGGTATTAGGCAAGTTCAAGGATGAAATGAACGGTAAAATAATTACTCACTTTATAGGATTGAAACCGAAGGCATATTGTTATAAAGTGTATGGTGACGAGAAAGAACACAAGAAAAGTAAAGGAGTAGTCAAACATAAAGTGAGCAATCAGTTAAGTTACAAAACCTATGACGAGACATTGAATAGGAACTATAAAGAAGAAGTCAGTGTTAACACTATCAGAAGTAAGAACCATCAGATATACAGCATCAATCAGACCAAATATGCTTTAAGTAATTATGATAATAAACGCTACTGGTATTCAGATTTTGAGAGTCTCCCATTTGGACATTACGCCATAAAATATCTACACAACGAAAAGATGATTTAAGATATATGGAAATAAATTCAACAACTGAAAAACGGAGTCAAAGAATGGCAAGACATAGAACAGATTATAAATCTTATCTAAACAATAGAAATTCCCCAAAAACGCCGTCCTAACCCTATGAAATCGTTTGATGAGTTCGGTGTTGAAAACTGTAACTTGGTTCTTATGGAAGAACGCCCATGCCAAAACAGAAAGCAACTCAAAAACAGAGAAGGTGAATATATTGAAAATGATAAGAGCCGTCTTAGCGGATGTTTGGTCGGACTTGAATGGAATATTACGATGCCACAGGAGAGCATCACCTTGAAGAAACGAAAGGACGCCAAATATTCAAATAGAGAACATTTAAAAATACAAAGAAAAAGACAAACAGCATCATGAGAACAAAAAAACAAAATACAAGAACACTAGAAAAATAATGATAATATAATGAGAAGAATTTAAGTATAGAGAAGGAAACAGAGAAGCAATGAGGCAAACACAAAGGAAAATATACAAAAAAGAGAGAAAGATGGAATTAATGCCCAAAAGAAGAGAAAGGCAAAAACAGGAGAGAAAAGAGCAGTTACTAAGCAACCAAAAGTAGTTCATGCCTATTATATATTTTACTCATTCCATCCAATTTATAATATCTATTATTCATCATATCACGACCAACTAATATCACTTTGTATTTCCTTTCACTCCATTGACTTCTAGTTTCTTTCCTTGGTACATAGTTGCCCTTTCCTTTATCAAATATCTTAACATAATCTCCTTCACTTATGTTTGGATATTTTCTGTTGTGCTTTTCTTTCAGTATCAGATTTGTTCTGACCTGAATTGCGATATCAAGATTGTGCGCATTATTTGGTGATGTCTTGGTACTACTGTGGACTTGTTTGTTGTATCTATTCAATGATGGCATTAGTACTTCCACCCATGTTTTGGTTTTGTAATGCCTCAATCTGTCCCCAATCATTTTTTTGACGGTGCGTATCATCCTTTCTGCCTGATTTGCATGCGTCTTTGTTATTGCGTGTGTTATACCTTCCTCCTTAAACAATGTTTGCAGCTTCTTGCTGTTCAACGCTCCTTCGTCGTCGCTGTAAATCGACAAAGGCTGACCTAATACCTTGAAACACTCCATGATTGCTTTATAAACGTCATCACCATCTTTATTCTCGATAGGGACTATGTGACATTTTTTGCTGAAAATATCTATGCATATTAAACCATATCGTAGTTGACTTTTGATTTCAGAACCTACGTCTCGCAACAAACTGGTAACATCCATCAAGTCAATTTGGAATTCATACTTGGGAAACGGAGCAGTGTAGGAATTGTAGTTCTTGTAGTTTCTTGTTTGCTTGTTCGGTTGCGCCCTCATCCATGTAGATACCATATCCAAAGTTATACCCACATCGACTTTCCTCGCCTTTTCGTATAAGTCCCTCACCGAACCGAAGCCCTCCTCCACGTCGTAATATATTTTGTCCAATACTTTTTCTTTTTCCAATCTTGTCATTAAAAATACTTAGATTATAATTTTATGATATGTTCTTGTATCATAAAATCATAGTGAACTCAAACCAAGAACCTCCGGCACTTCTTCGTTTTCTTATGCTTTGCCAAGTTTGATTTACAGCTCATGGCAGAGCCGCATATATCGCATACACACGGTTGCTTCGTTTTCTCTTGGTAATATCTTTGGAAATACTTTTGTCGTTCGGTTTTCTACTGTAGTATCCGTTGTCCTGCTTTCTCCATTCAGCATTGGTGTTCTTGTTAACGGATGAGTTTGCTTTGTAGCTTTCTTCAGACGAAGATGTTTCGCTGTCAGCCAGTTCTTTGTTTCCAAAGCCGTTCCAAATAAAGTCGAAGGTTTCATTCGTCATCGGGATTTCAATTCCATTACTTACAAAGTAACAAGGCATAATGTGTATAATATAGTATAATATAGCTAGTTATGTATCTTAATATTTGTTTAAGTAGTTTTATTCTCAATAGGAACTTTGTATATCAGTTTGTGCTTGTGGCATCTCATACAAGTACCTAACACAAACCCCAAAATAGTTTCGACATCCAAGTTTATAGGTTTGAGCATTTTACCCTTCCAACTTCCCACCGGTTGACTTATTTTTAGTGACACCCAGTCCTAAAACCTCAAAAATCCAAACCCAAACATGCTTAGCGTTCAAAGCAGTGAGACTTGAGCTTTGTCCCAAGCCAATCCAAAAACCAAGCCAATTTCCCCCAAACCGAACCAATTTTTCCCCAAACCGAACTTGTTTGTCCCAAAAACGGAGCCTGTTTTGCCCAAAAAAGGCACATGCTTTTCCCCAAAATCGGTGACGCATTACCCCAAAATTGGTAACGGATTTCCCCGAAATCGGTGATGGATTTCCTCAAAATCGGTGACGGATTTCCCCAAAATCGGTGACGCATTTCCCAAAAGTCGGTGATGGATTTCCCCAAAATCGGTGGCTGATTTCCTGAGAGCCCAGCCTCGTTAGCCGGAACCCCAACTCCCAAAGCCAAAAAATACCAAACGCATTTTTAAGTATGTACATACTTGCTCAAAACACAAAAACAATGAGGGATTTCCAGCCCGCAACCACTCGTGGAGCTTGCAGGAAAACGCAAACGAGGGTGAACCTGTGGATTTCTTGCGTCAGCACGTTGAAATGTATTTGCAAACATGGCATGCTTCCATGCGCGTCTGGGTTTGATGTTCAGTTTCAAGCTTTCGGCTCAGCGTTTGCAGATGAATTCCGGGGCAACAGCCCCTGCCGTGCAGCTCAGTCTTAGAGGGCTCAATTCAGAACGCATCGAACAAACAGTGTTGGGTAGCCAGAACGAAGAACTATTCCAAAAAAGTTGACAGAGCAGGGGTCGAAACTCAGTTTTGATTGCGACCCTTTTTTCAGCGCAATGGCTTCCAAGAGAAGCGCTTCAGCTTCTTGTCTGCGTCTTGCTGCAATTAGTTGTTTTTTGGTCGGCGCCTTCCAAAATTTGACCTTGAGCATCCCAAAGCAGATAGAGGAAAGCGCCCAAAACAAAGGCATCAGTCCCGCCCAATACCTGAAAGATGTGAGCAACAGAGCAGAACTCCACCGAAAGAGCGACGCGGTTGCTGGGCGAGAGGAGTTTGTGAAGACATTGAATGAGGCAGTGCGGTTGAGCTATCCGTTGTTTCTCATGAAGTTGTTTTAATTCTGTTTGGAGTTTAGAGGTTCAGTATGGTTGAGGAAGTTTATGCGGTTATTAGACGGTTTTTCCAGTCCAGTTTTGAAAAGACTTCAGCTCAGCTAAATTGTGATACAGTTCAAGATGTCACGCAACTTCGTCAGGCTATGGGAAAGTCTGGTTTGCACCTTGTCATTGGGGGCAAGTCCCTCGGAAAGACCAAAATTGTGCAGACCGTTGTTGACAATGCTGGAGATGAAGCTCCTTTGCTCTACGTCAATATGCGTCTCCGTAGCAAAGCCCAGTCAACGGATGCATTGGAATGTTTGCAAGAAGAAGCTAAGCGAAGATGGACCGCAAAGAATTTGCCATTCGGGGCAGAGCGGCTGGTTGCCGCTGGTTCTGCGGTTCTTGGAGCACTTGGCAAAGCGAACTTAAAGAAGAGTGACGATGAGGAGATAGGAGAGGGTGCAGTGGAAACTCTTCTCTCTTTGTTTCTCAACATCACCAAGCCCGAGGAGTTCATCAAGGCTTTTGTTGCGGCAACAATGGCTGCAGAGAAGGTTCCAGTCATGATTGTTGATGAAGCCAACATCGCCTTTCCCAATGGTAACGGTGGGAATGGGAATGGCAGAAGAGAAGCAGCTTACAGAGCGCTCGCAACCTTTGTGGCGCTGACAAAGGAGCAGGGGAAAGCGTCTGTTATTCTGGTTGCCTCTGACTATGCTTTCCCATTGGGACTACAAGCTCTTGGCTTCAACAAGTATGATGCTCTCAATACGATTGTAGCTCCGGAGGTTGAAGAGAAGCCTATGCTTTTTTTGCTGCAAGAGTGGGGTTTGTCTCAAGACTTGGCACAGGAGCTATGAGCAACTTTGCACAGTGCTTTTCTAAAGCTTGCTTTTGTTAGCTCATGCTCGTGTAAAACAGGGTGGAATTTTGGTGTTCTTTGTTTTGCTGAATTTCTTGTAATCAGTTTATCACGGGATGCATGGGTCGGAACTGTTTGCGTGCAATACCATGTGAAATCGGAATATGGCAATGCTTTTGTGTTGTGGGCTGGCAGGAGTTCTATGAGACCTTCGGTGGAAACGTTTTTTTGTGCCACCAGGCAGTCGACAAGCTCCGTCAGCAATTCGAGTTGGGTCAGGAGAGGCTCTTCGACCCCTTCAACGTCCGAGACAATGCCGAGTTAGGTGACCTCGTGCGCGACCCGCTCACTCGGAAGCACATGGAGAACTTGGCTCAAAAAGGATGGTCGCAAGTAGAGGGTGGCGCTGCAGAAGCGGAGACGGAGAGCCAGAAGGGTGCTCGCATCATCGCCAAGAAGAACTTCGGCGCCATCATCGAGAGACAGACCACTACTTTCTTTGACAAAGGCTTGGACAAAGATATGTTCAGAGACCCAGATGCAGTGCGGGTTCTAATTCCACCTACTACATATGCACGCAAGTGCATCCAGCGGATGGTGGACACGGTGAAACCAAGCAACTTGGACTTCAAAGAAAGACTTTTCCTTTGGAGCAACCACTCGTCACTATGAGCCCCAGTCATTTTGCAGTTTGTTTCTCAATCTTTCAGGACCATTTATCGGAAACGCGAACCATTTTTTCTCCATCCCTTCTCGGTTGAACATGTTGAACGCAAGGCATCACCAGACCACAAGCTGGAGCAGTGTGGGTGAGGCAACTAAAGGAGGACAGGAGTGACCGGTGCCAGTCAGTTGCTCCACCAAGGAAGCACTATTGTATTGGGTTCTACGATTTAAACAATCATGTCTATGCCAACTCAGCAGCAAACTACATGGTGATGGTGTTAATGTAACTTTCCTCCCAAGCCAAACATGTGATTATGTGTAAGCCCGCTATGCAAAATAATACTGTGTCATTTTATGTTCTTGAGACAGCTCAGCACTATTTGGGGAGAAGATTGCAGGGTTGTTCATTCCTCAGGATTTGTTTAAACATATGTTATGTTCCAATAATCTTCCTGCGATTGATAGAGAGGATTTAGACTGAAGACTTTGTATGTTTTTCTGCCATGCCCTTGTTCCTTTGCCCTTTTGCAAGGTGTAGGAAGAACTTTTATTATCGAAAAGCCATGCCCCAAACTAAAAGCGTGACTAAGGGTAAGTCCACTGTGCAAGAAAAGACACTGTCATGCTACGAACTTGGTATGGTTCAGGACTTTTTGGGACAAGATTGCAGGGGTGTTCATTCCTCAGGATTTGTTGAACGATATCTTCCCAACATTTGCCTTAAATTGGTAGAGATGATTTAGACTACAGACGTTTGTGCGATTTTCTGGCATGCCCTTGTTCCTTTGCTGTGCCCTTTTGACTGTTCCCACCTCAACATCTCGCCTTTTGAGTGGTACAGCAAGTGTTGAACAAGCAGCCTTGTCATCCCTATATGTTCCTCTCATGTGTTGCTTTGCATGGTTCGTGTGCTAAAAACGGTGTTGATTGGTCGTGTGAATAAAAGTAGGCTTGTGCTCTATCAATTCTCCCACTGAAGCATCAAACAAAAGCCAAAAGCTTTGCAATTTGCAAAAGTCAATGCCACAGTTTGTGCCTTTGTTCCTTTAGGAAGTTCCTTTGACTAGTGTTAGGTTAAAATACAAGTGGTTTGTTCAGCCGAAACTTCATCAAGAGATTTCTTTCTGGCATGTTGCCATGTTTCCAAATGTTTTGCATGGTGCGTTGCATTGCTTGTCATGTGTGTTAAGTGTTTGCTATGTGTTTCTTTTTTGAGCACGGCCGGACATTGTTTGAAAGGGTGGCGCTGGAATCAAGATATCTTTCAGACGTTTCCCTCAATTTGATAGAGAGGGATTTCGACGAAAGACTTGGCATGTTTTCTGGAATGCACCTGTTTCTTTCCCCTGTTCATTTTGACTCTTCCTACTCAACATCTCATCTTTTGAGAAATACTGCAAGTGTTGAACGAGCCGCTTTGTCTTCCCTATATGTTCCTTTCATTTGTTCCTTTTTGTGGTTCTTGTGCTAAAAGCCGGCGTTAATTGGTCATGTTAACACAGGTAGGGTTGCGTTCCATCATTTCTCCCACTTGAGCATCAAAGGCTTTGTAATTTGCAAAAGTCAATGGAACAGTTTATGCCCTTGTCCCTTTTCGTTTTGACTAGTGTTAGGTTAAGATTTAAGTGGTTTGTTCAGCCAAAACTTTATCACGAGATTTCCTTCAGCCATGCGTTCATGTCTTCCTCGCCAGTCAAGAGATTGGTTGCGTGCAAGCGGCTTGTGCAACACGGGTTTGGGTTTGACCTTGCAGGACGGCAAAGGTGGCTTCGAGTTCGTTGGCAATCCTTTCCAGATTGACCCTGCACCTTCAAACATTGTGCGCTTGACATGTTTTCATCCCAGCCACATCATTGTCATGTCTGCTTTTGTTTTCTCCTGCTATTTTTGTTTAAAAGCATGCAGTTGACAGGATTATTTGAAGAAGGTGCAGACCTCAAACATAAAATCGTTCATTTTGGTTTGGAACAGCTTTGAGAAGGGCAATGACAAAGATTGAGCAGAGCGATCATTTTTTGCCTATTTGAAGAAAACCCAGAGCTTAAGATTTTGTGTTTCAGTCAAGCTTGGTGCTTTGACTAAACCAATTTAATTAGCGTTTGGGTTTGCTTCCGGCAATGCGCGAGGCAATCAAGAAGGAGAAACCCAACAAGGTGTCGTGCGATGCAGATGAGCTGGACATCTACAGCCTGCAGGACAGCTTGGCTGTTTTCTTCCAGTATCCACCGCACTATCCCTTGATTGACATTTACAGTCAAAGTCAACAGGAGGAGCCGTTGATTGTGCCAGCAACTTCTTTGCAAGTTGCAATGGCTTCAATGACCCGCCAGTTCGTGTTTAGTTCAGCCTTCAACTGCGCTTTTGGTTGTGGTTTGCCAGTTTGCTCACGGCAGGATGGAAATTGGACTCTGGACTGGAAGATGAGGAAGCACCAGTCAATCGTGGCACGTCCAAGCCCGGCACTTGGTGTTTTGTTTTGAGCAGCTTTTGACAATGCTCGGTTCAGATTGATGTCATTGTTTACAAGTTTCTGATGTATTTTTGTTGCCGCCTCTGAGCATTCAGGTCAGACTGCTATGGTTTCACGATATCATCAACGTGAGTGTGAGTCTCAGCTTTCTGAGCAACCTGCAATGGCTTGGCGGTAATGGAGTTCCGTCGTCATCCTGACAAATTTTGGCTCTCATGAGGGTTTGTTTGTTGCTTTGTCGACTGAGGCTGTCGAAATCCATCGAGAGCATGAATGTCGCGTGTAAAAAGTCTGTTAAAGTTTCACATCATAGCACCGTTGGTTCGTTGTGGTATGACCTTGCGTCAATGATATATGCGTTCGCACGTCAACAATTCCAACTTGGACTGAAGCATTGACTTTTCCTGTCAAGCAGGTCGTGCATGCAACGGGTGCAGGAGCAATGACCCAAGAGCTGGTCATGGCATGTTTCATTCAGGCGTTGGACATAGCGCCCAAGCACAGGCGAAAGCAACGTACAATACCCCGAGAGAAAGACTTGGTGCTTGCTTCTGGACAGGCTTTCCTGAGAGTCGGAGCTTTGAATGGAAAACTGGCAGAAAATTTAAGGAAAATCGGTGGAAAACTAGTGGACAAAGTTTTGGCCACTAAGGGTGCCTTCTCAACATGCTAAACTCCTTGCAGTCACGAAGAGCATGCTACCGACTTGTATGAGACGGCGTACTATACACATAACCCCATTGAGCCAAAATGACTTAAAATGATATTAAGATATATAATTAATTAACTATATTTGTAGTATGCCTTGTTACTTTGTAGCAACGGAGTTGAAATGTCAATGACTAATCAAACCTTTGACTTTATTTGGAACGGTTTTGGAAACAAAGAACTGACTGACAGCGAAACGTCTGCTTCATCTGAAGAAGGTGATAAAACAGGTTCATTTGGTGAAAAGGCTAGAAATGCTGAATGGAGAAAGCAGGACGACGGATACTACAACAGAAAACCGAACGACGAAAAATATTTCCAAAGATATTACCAAGAGAAAGCGAAGCAACCGTGTGTATGCGATATATGCGGCTGTGCCATGAGCTGCAAGTCAAACTTGGCAAAGCACAAGAAAACCAAAAAGTGCCAGAGGTTCTTGGCGTAAGTTCACTATGATTTTATGATACAAGAAAATATCATAAAATTATAATCTAAGTATTTTTAATGACAAGATTGGAAAAAGAAAAAGTATTGGACAAAATATATTACGACGTGGAGGAGGGCTTCGGTTCGGTGAGGGACTTATACGAAAAGGCGAGGAAAGTCGATGTGGGTATAACTTTGGATATGGTATCTGCATGGATGAGGGCGCAACCGAACAAGCAAACAAGAAACTACAAGAACTACAATTCCTACACTGCACCGTTTCCCAAGTATGAATTTCAAATTGACTTGATGGATGTTACCAGTTTGCTGCGAGACGTAGGTTCTGAAATCAGAAATCAACTAAGATATGGTTTGGCTTGCATAGATATATTCAGTAAAAAATGTCACATAGTCCCTACCGAGAATAAAGATGGTGATGACGTTTATAAAGCAGTCATGGAGTGTTTCAAGGTATTAGGCCAGCCTTTGTCGATTTACAGCCACGACGAAGGAGCGTTGAACAGCAAGAAACTGCAAACATTCTTTAAGGAGGAAGGTATAACACACGTAATAACAAAGACGCATGCAAATCAGGCAGAAAGGATGATACGCATGGTCAAAAAAATGATTGGGGACAGATTGAGGCATTACAAAACCAAAACATGGACATGTCACAAGAGCCATTTCATGCGAGAATTCTCACGGAAAATGCCACTCCCCAAGAGCAAGCAAAACTCGCCGCACAGACTTTGCGCGAGCCTGGGAAGTCGAAATGGACATGGGCATGTCGCAAGAGCAGTTTTATGCGAAAATTTACAGCAAAAATGACGGAAACCAGATGGAGCACCCTGATCAACACCGGCCTTAACCCCTACCATAAGAACCCCACACTTCTTGATTTTCTTGCAGGTTTTGCACAATTCGTTTCCGTTTTTTCTTTGCTGTTCGAATCATAGAAACTGGAACCGCTCTTGGCCACACAGCACCGGTGATTTGCATCAAATGACATGTCGAGAAAGCGAAAACATTCAAATTTGCTCAAATAGTCAAATTACAGAAAATTATTGAGATTTATTGAGTTGCAGAAGCATACTAAGCTACTACTAATTCATATGAATTCAATGTTCAAAAATGTTCAAAAAAGAGCTGTGTCGATCTGTGTAGCAAATGCATGTGCCTCAGGAAGCTCAGCGCAGGACAGCGTGAACAGTCAGAGGCCCAATAGATTTGTGCCGTGCATCGCAGTGATGGTGGACGAAGTTCTGTGTTCAAGCCGGATAGCTTTCAAAGATTTCAGAGACTGACAGCTGTTTGCCCATTGAGTGAGCACTGTGCCCTTTCATAAGAGTTTCCGCAGTTTTGGTGACATGTAGCGCGGTGTTTATTCAAAGTGACGCAGGGTTTTTGCCAAGAATCTAAAGGGATGCGGGAATCCTTGCAGACTGCATGTCTCAAAGGTTGTTGATCCAAGGATTTGGAATCTCAGTGATTGCTCTGGACCTGGAGCAGTGACAGAGCAGCAGAGTCAAGTTGATGTATACATCAAAGATATACATCGAAGACGGCATGTATCGTTCATTGACAGGATTCGCGATGAAGGTTTTGAAGGCCGGCCTGCAGCGTCTGTTCTGCGATGCTTTTGTTGAATGTGTGTCTGTGTGTGCGCGCGCGCCCCTTTGCTTATCTTTTTTAGAGTCTTTCGGTTCTGCCAAACCAGGAATTCAAGCAGACATATTCTCGACGCAGACATTGATCAACTATACTGTCGCATTGTTTGTGTGAACCAGATGTAAAACTTCTTGTCACTGCAGGGGGCCACCGGGGTCCCAGGGGGTCGGTGGCCAACGAAGACACCCCTGGGTACCTGTGAAAACGTACCTTCTTTCGCCCCTGGGCGCATTTAAGTCGCAGCTGGGGGGACACATAATTTATCACTGTTGCTTTATACTGTCATTGTCTCCTGTGCTTACGTATATATATATATATACATACATATATATATATATATACACAGGTTCATCTCGTCGTGTTATTTTGGTTTGTTGGTGTTTTTGCACGACCGTTGCATTCCACATCACAATTCGATAAGACAAGCCGAAGTAAGTGTGTGACTCATGCCGGATTCAACAGGATGACATGAGCCCTTCGGGGAATGCCTTTCTAGGTAGGAAATGGGAGCCTCGATCTGACTCCGAACTTACAATTTTCAACCTGATAATTCGTCTAAGTAAAATGAAACAGATGGCCTCTTTCCTTGTTGAACAGCTGGTCGCCGTGCCTGGCACCACCTTTCTTTTTCGACGCTGAAGCTGTACTGACAGTCGTAGAACCTTCGTTTTTCCAGCTTTGCCCAAGAGAGTACGGTGCTCGACATTGCATCACACTGGAAGGTATCAGGACATACTTGCAGGTGTGGTATTTTCTTCCTTTTATGGTCTTTGGTGAGGTTCTGAAGCTGGGGACTACTGACAGCGTTTATATACAGGGTTGAATTGACTACCGAGGGCCTTGAGCCTTGTCTCGACTCTTGCATGCGATTGTGGATGCATCATTTTTCATTATATAGCTAGTTCCCCATTGGTCCCCTATTTCATGTGTGCTCCTGTGTTAGGTCAGGTTTGGGTCCTGCACATGCCGAGGTAGGTTTGGCTCTCGCCTTGTTGGTTTTGTCATCGTCCGTCCGCCTTTTCTTTTCCCTTGCCCTTTCAAGTTCGCCCGTTTTGGATAGGTGTGTTGGTGTTGGTGTTTTCTCCCTTTTTTCCTTTCCTCTTTTTGCGTTCCCTGTCTTGTGTCCCGGTTAGGTAAGCTTTGATTTCATTTTCATGGTCATCTCATTTTCATCTCCATCTCACCTACCCTGCTGCAGCAGGGTGTGTGTGTGTGTGAACCGTCTGTATAGATGTAAAACTTCTTTTCACTGCATTGGGCCACCGGGGTCCTAGGGGGTCGGTGGCCAACGAAGACAACGCCTGGGTACCTGTGAAAACGTACCTGCTTATATAATCCCCGTGGCAATTTCCACACGAAATGGATGACTTGTGCATAGCCTAAGCGAGATCCGTAATGTATTGGAATTTCAAAATTGGAGTCAGGTTAGTCATTTTATTGTTAAGGGGTTGGTCTGAGCATTTTATTGGCCAGGGAAGTCCTGATGATTTTTAATTTTAACATGTTAAAATTCCATTCTAATTTTGTTGCAAAAATTGAGTGTTTGGAGCATTTTGTGCTTTTCCAGGATCTCTTTATATCGATTTCATTGGGCATGTCATTTTAGATCAGCGAATTTTAAGGAATTTTCAGGAATTTAAAGGAATTCTAAGGAATTGAAGGAATTTTAAGGACTTTCAGAGGTATTCTAGAGGAATTTTAAGGAATTTAACGGGAATTTTAAGGAATTTAAAGGTTTGAAAGTTTTAAAGGATTTTAATGAATTTTAAGGAATTGTTGCGAACTGCTGACTTGGAACGTGGCCATGCTACAAAAGGTACATGAGAATGCCATTGTATTTTGTTGCTATAGAATGCTATGAAAGAAGAAAAACATTAGATATTTGGACACCTTCATTCTAAAATACCTCTATCTAAAAAGAATTTCCTGACCTCTTTTTAAAGAGGCGTTTCTGAGGGTCTTCGAATTTGGGTGAACTTGGATGCCAATTCGGCGTGAATTTGCTGGAAACGCATTTTATAGCAGAACCAGTTCTCATTGTTTTTGTGCATTCTAAAACCTGAGGCTCTATGCCCAAAAGCTAGACCGCTCTAAAATTGCTGCACGTTATCACATACTGAATTGGCACCCCGATCTTAAATATATATATACATATATTATATATATATACATATTATATATATATGTATATATATATATATAGTCCCGCCCTTGGGCACATTTCAGTCGCAGCTTGGGGGACATATAATGTATCGCTGCTGCTTTATATTGTCATTGTCTCTTGTGATTATATATATATAGGTTCATTGTGCTATTTTGGTTTGTTGGTGTTTTTGCACGACCGTTGCGTTTCACATCACAATTCGATAAGACAAGTCTGAGCAACTGTGTCTGTGTGTTCGTATGAGTGTATGCGGAGCCATGTGTGTATGCGTGTAGCATGACCGAGTCATCCAATTCATGCTGTACTCCTTGGACCCATTGCAGGGATTTGGAGGGCTGATGTTCTCTTGCAAGTCCAACTGAGGAGACAAGCCTAGAAGGTATCCTGGACACCAACTGCTTCCGGCCGGATTTGAGCACCGATGTACGGGTTTTATGCCCGACTCTGGCCCGCTTCAACCACTCATGTTTGCCCAATTGCACCTCAGCTGCACGCAAGGGTGTTACCAAAGTTGGTTCGAGTTTGCGGCAACGAACGTCAGTGTTTCTATGCCGCATTACGTACATGAAGCTGCTTTGCTCATTGCATGTATAGTTACCAGTTACCAGTGATGATCATGTAAACAGCTAGAGGCGTTCAGCAAAGACTGATGTTTTGACAAGCAAGGCCAGCAAGCTTGGGATGGCGACCAGGGAACAATGAGAATTAGTGCTTGCACCCAGATTCAAGAAGGCTCTCCTATTTTCACTGCGATGCAAAACTTGGGAGCCCTACTTCGCTATAACGAACTTGAGAATGTGGCTCCTTGACCCTTTCCAAGTAGTCTGTGGTTGATTGGGTAGGCGTATTTAATCCTTGGTATGCAGCGAATTCAATGCCATATACAGGTGCCTTGTACAAAAGTCACATGTGATTGTGCGGGCCAAACCCAACGATGCCCGCACTGTGCGGACAAGGATGTGCCAATTTCGGGGCCAGTTTGTCGCCTGGGCAGGCGATGAGCTGTGCATTGATTACATCGATGTCCGCCAGAGCAGAGACCAGCGACAATTCGAGCTGCGTTGCTCGGCCACAAAACCAAGCAAAGCAATGCGAAACAATACGAAAAGATACCACGCTGCCACAGTGTCCACGGCAAAAGTCTGGCAATTTGTTTTCAAGGCACGGTAGATTTCAGTGTCATGTTATTGAAACAGTCATGGAACGGAATTCAGGTCAGAGCAACAGCTCTGTTCAGATCCTGAGAAAAAGATGATAAAGAGGTGTATGAATGGTCCAAGGGTGCAGACCACGAACGCAGACTGCGTGTACCGACTGCGCTTTGCTGTTTGTGCCACTTCACAGCTCCGCAAGGAGAGTTTTAAGTATTTCAGAATATTTCAAATCTAAGCTGGTGCACAAGTGGTGCACTTCGCTGTTTGAGACGGGGGGATGCACTGCGTGCACTGCATGTAGGGACGAAGCGAGGTCAGAAGTACGGTTTTGAGTGCAGCTGCCCGGCGTGTGCTGCCCCGCGGGAAGGCAGTGATGAAAGGAGGAGACTCGACGACTGAGACATACGACATATACGGAGACAGTGCGCACAAAGAGCCCACACAGAGCGCCATGATGTGTCATGCATCTAAGATAACATCTTTTGTATCATTGTATTGTGGCATTATGTCCTATGCAGCCAATGCATTCAAAAATAAAAAGATCAAATCATGAGCTCTGCAAAGCTAAAACCGTTCGTTGTCTTTTGCATAGCCAGAATGCTCGCAGGATCAATATGGCAAAGTTTGACCAGGAGATTGGCATAGCATCGCCTGAGCGTTGTCTTCAGTCGCTCAGTTCAAGTGAATTGAGTCCAAGTTGTTCTCTTCACTCATACCTTCTTGAGCCTAAATTCAACTTCAGAATGCTGAAATTTCGCAGCAACAGTCAGGCAGCTTTGCTACCTGCCAAAATAACATACTCAAAGATAGCAGACTTCGCAGACACTGATATCCAATGCACACAAGCAACCCGGCCCGAGCACGAGACTCACCAGCAAACGAAACAAACAAGACCAGAGCTGCTGCCCTACAAAGCCCGTACAGTACATTACAGGATTCTTTCCCCAACTGCGTAAGCTAATGGGGTCTTCAGCCCAGAATAGCTCCGGTGTGCACTGGTGCAGGAGCCGGGTCAGGTTCAACGAGGTTCCGGAGAA